GATCCTGAGCTTAACTTTGGCTTAAACTGGGCCACACAACAGGAGTGTGACTGTAAACACAAACTACATGAACAGATAAAGGTGTGTCAGTGTCCACACGTCAACATGTGACCGCCGACTGGCTCAGTTACTGTGATAGGACCTTAAGACAGCTGCAGATAAACAAATGTCCGGAAACCTCAATGAACTGAAACAATGTTATAAGGAAAAATGGAGCAAAATTGCTCCACAGTGATGTGACAGACTGATAAATGCAGGAAACGCTGCTGTGACAGTGGTCCTAGCAGCTGTGAAAGCAGCGTGTGCAGGTCAAGTCTGCCTGCTGATGTAGCGAGCGACAATTTGAACACAGCTCGTGTAAATGATAAACAGGAAGTGCTAATCTCAGACTTGGTGTATTTTCTGTTTGACAGATGTCACTGTGTGCATCTGTCACAGGGCACAGCTCTGCTAATGGCTTCTACTTGTTTTTAACTTCCTGTTAGTTCCTGTGCTGACCTCGGGGTTACAGAAGAAGGAATCGTGCTCCTGCAGAAGTGAAACTATGAAATCGCCCGTTGTCCTCTCAGCCAGTTAAACACACATTGATCAAAGAAGTCATACAAGTTCAGATGTGATACTCGATGTGACCAAAACACACGGTTCGGTGTTTCGCTTTCATTCATGTGATTGTCTTTATTTATAGATGCGTTCGTCACACTGTTGCTCAGCAGGTGACTTCATGCCTCAGTGTCCTGCAGGTGATTCTTTAAGAAGCAGTCCATTTATACACTGTAGAGTGTGACTGACACAAAGGCACTTGATAGTTAAATGTTTATTATTTTTGACTTTTAGACGTGCAGAGGGCGAGCTTAACTCTCACAATATGTCTCCACAGTGAGGACTAGGATGGTAAGCAGCCAGCCGAAGTACGAACTCATCCAGGAGGTGGGGCGTGGCAGTTACGGCGTGGTCTATGAGGCAGTAGTGAAGCGTACAGGGGCGAGGGTGGCGGTGAAGAAGATTCGCTGCCACTCTCCGGAAAATGTCGAACTGGCCCTGCGGGAATTCTGGGCCCTCAGCAGCATCCAAAGCCAGCACCCGAATGTCATCCACCTGGAGGAGTGCATCCTGCAGCGGGACCAGCTAGCCCAGAGGATGAACCACGGCTCCAGTTCGCCGCTCTACCTTGAGGTGAGAACACACGAACCGGGGGATCGGTCACGATGGGCGTAGTTCGCCTGTTTGTTTTCACTTTTTATAACTGCTTCACTGTGTAAGGTCCTAAAACAGTCATTTTAACAAACAGTAGTAAGAATATCAGGTCAAAATGTGAGTGAAAACGAGTCAAACACAGCTGTGTAAATTACAGTGCACCAAGTATGCACGTCCCGCGTGCAGCCTGGCTGTGACATCTCCGGCTGTCTCAGCCGAGAAGGATCCAGGCTTCACACTTCCCAGGACCACGGTGTGATCTCAGCAGGCTTCAGCACTGTTCAGGAGCACAGACGTTAATATGAGCAGTGAGGAGAGATGTGGACCAACTATCACGAGCTGTGGTCTAAACCAGCGGTCTCCAACCTTTTTGTGCCACGGACCGGTTTATGCCC